GCGCATGTTGCTGGGCTTCGTGAAGCGGAAGGACCTGATCCGTTGGCTGGTGATATCCACCACCGAACCGGACGATGGACAGAGCACCGACTTTGAGGTCAGCGGCGGCACTGGCAGCGGCGGCGGCGGCCTCGCTGGCGCCGCCGCCGCAATGCTGGGTCCGCTGGCCCGCCGGAAGCGGCGGCGAACGCGCAACAAGCGGCGCGTGGGCCAGAAGAAGGGCCAGGAGGGCCACTCGTCGGACGAGGAGTACGTGATGGGCAACCGGGGCACGGTGGCGGGCCGCCGGGCGACGGGCCTGGGCGAGGGCCTGGGCGAGGGCGAGGGCCGGCACCTGGTGGGCAAGACCTACGGCACCTTCTGGGGCCGCGAGGACAAGGGCCTCGGCTCCAATCTCCCCATGATCTCCGAAGAAGAGGTGCGTGTGCGGTCGTGTGTGCGTGTGCGGTCATGTGCGTGTGCGGTCTTGCTCACACACACACACGACACACGCACGCACGCATGCAGGCGCTTCGGCGGGTGTCGGAGAAGGAGCGTGCGGGTGCGCCGGCAGCGTCGCGGCTGACCGACATTTTTGAGGTCAAGGAGGACACGGAGATGCCCATCTTCAAGAAGCCCCCGAAGCCCGCACCACACGCGGCCGGACCCGGCATGATGGGCGTCGCCTCCAACACGCCTCGGCCAATGATGGGCGGCGGCGCCGTCGTCGTCCCCGTCGGCTCGCCCACAACCATGGCGACGGCGCGGTCGGCAGTGGTCAGGGCGGCGGCGGCGGTGGGTCGCCGGTCGCTGGGTTGGAGGGCCTGCGGCGGAGGTCGTCGAGCTCGCGCGGCGCGCCGGGCGAGCTGCGGCGACGGACGAGCTCGCTGGCGGCGCTGGTGGCCGGTGCCGGGGCCGGTGGGGCTGCGGGCGGGGCCGTGTCGGCCTCGGGCGAGATCCGTCAGCTGTATCCCAACAGGCCGCCGCTCCCGGTCATCCCCGTGCCCATCCAGATCCTCGACGAGATGCCCATGCCCTACGTCCATATGCTCTTCATCACCCTCAAGTACGTCAGAATTCATTTCATTCCATTCATTCCTTCATGCGTGTGCGGTGCGCGTGTGCGGTTGGGCTGATGGCGTGTGGTGTGTGTTCAGGTTGTCGGACGCGTATGTGACGAAGAAGGGTCGACTGAACGGGCTGATCTCGCGAGAGACGCTCAAGCAGGTGATCGATCGGCACAAGGATCCGATGGAGGTGTTCCTCATGCAGGAGGGCCTCGCCTTCAAGGACAGCTGGAAGTGGACCCTCCACCAGTGCTACCGCAAGTGGCGCCGGTGACACCCCCCTGAAGCCGAGAAGAACGAAAACGAAAGAGAAAGAATGAAAGCGAAGACAAAGAACGAAGAGCGAACAATGAACAACGAAGACGAAGACAACCGCTTCGCTTTCTTTCTTTTTGACGAACAGTTATGAGGTGCTTTGGTTCCGTGACCTGGTGAGGGCCTTGGCGGCGAGGTGGCAGAGGAGCAGCTCGGCCTCGTAGACGAGCTTGAGGGCCACCGCCGTCGGGAGGCCGTGCCGCAGGGCCGCGTGGCACATGACCCACCCGACCACATGCCCGTGCACCGCGCGCAGACACTCGCCGAGCTGCCGCTTGGCCTCGCTCTCGCTCTCGTCGCTGTTGCTGCGGCTGCCGTGCGGCGCCGTGGTCAACCCGGCGAGCGACGCGCGGAGCGTTACGAGGAAGGCCGCGGGCTGGCGGCTGGTGTTGATTGCCGACAGGTAGTCCCACACCCGCGCCGTGGGCCGCCACGCCGCCGCCGCGGTGGCGAGCTTCTCGGTGAGCCACGGCGGCGTGTGCGACAGCTGCGCGAGCGAGCTCACCGCGAACAGGCCCAGCACGAAGAGGTGCAGGTACGGCTGCGGTGGCGGCGGGGCCGAGCCGGCCTCTTTGATGACGTCACGGTAGGCGTTGCGGGTGAGGCGGTGGAAGAGGGGCAGGACCAGGGTGGCGACGGTGCCGAGAACCAAGTCGAAGCGGGCCACGTAGCATGCCACCGCGAAGCTGAACATGCTGATCTTCGTGTCGTCGCTTGGCGCGCGCCGGGTCGAGTGCTGCGTGTTGGCGGCGTGTGTGTGTGTGAGTGTGTGTGGTGAGTGTGTGTGGTGAGTGTGGTGTGTCGTGTGTGTGTGGTGAGTGTGGAAGACAACCACACGATGTGCTGTGTTGTTAACGGGAGGGAGTAGTCACCTGGTTCAGGGTCTCCAACACGGTGTAGGAACCCACGAGAGCTGGGTGGTGGGTGGTGAGCCGGCGCGAGTGTGTGGTGTGCGTCGTGTGTGTGGTGTGTGTGTGTGTGTGTGTGTGTGTGTGTGTGTGTTGTGCGTGTGTGTTACCGAGGATAAAGGTCACAGCTTTCAGGAGGCCGTTGGTCGCAACGAGCGCCATTACGAACGGACTCACGCACAACCACCTTTTATGCATTGTGTGCGGTCATGCGTGTGCGGTCGTGCGTGCGGGTAGGAGTGAGCGGTTGGAGCGACAATCGTGAGCGGTGGGACGGGGGTGGAGGGTACCGAAGGCCGATTTCCTCGAGCAGCGAATGCAAGACGCGTACGCCGAACTTGGCCGCACACAGGCGCCAATTGCGACCGCAGCCGCCCAGGTAGCTCTTCGCCCTACACCAACGCCACCACTCAACAGACGTCGCACACGACGACACGACACACGCGCCACCGCACACGCACACACGTACCCGAGCTGATGTTGCACGACAGAGTAGGCCGCGGTGTAGGACAGGAGAGGCCAGAAGCCGGCGAGGACGGCGAGAGCAGAGGCGGCACCCGGCAGTCGCCGCGCGGCCACGAATCGGTCGGGCAGAGGGCAGAGCGAGGGCGCCAGGCGCCGCACCGCGTAGACCCCCAACCCCACCTTGGCCAAGAACACTGCGACGCCGTTCAGCACACGACACGACCAACTACACGACACACGACACGCACGACACGCACGACACGCACGACACGCACGTGCGTTCTGAATGCGGTGTAGAAAGCTGCAGCGGACGTGCAGCATCTCGAGTCTTTCGCGCAGACGACGCCGGAAGGCGGGCGGGTAGGAGGCGAGCGCCTCCCGCAGCCGCTCCGACCGCGAGGCCGCGCGCAGCTCCCGCACCGCGCCGTCCTCCTCCTGTCTCCGCACCACACACACACCACGACACACACGACACACGACACACACACACGACACACACGACACACAACACGACACACGACACAGGGAACGAGGTGTTGGTGATGACGCCGCCTTCAGTCAAGAGAAAGACGTGGTGGTACCGAGCGGGCGAGGGCGGAGTCCTGGAGGCCAGTCCAGCCCAGCTTTGAGAGACGCAGCGAGTCCCAGTCGACCCCGCGCAGCAGCTCCGTCATCGGGCGCCGCACCTCGCGCAAGTAGAACGCCTGCACGATTTTATTATTTGAATTTTAATTTATAACTGATAAATGAGTAATTATTTATGCAGAGATATTGATGTTGAAAGTTGAATATTAAAATAAATAAATTAAAAATAATATGTACCTTCCAGCAGAGGGGCTTGTGGGCGCGGTAGAAGGAGTCGAACTGTTGGTCGATTTGTTGGTGGTCCTGCTCGCGCACGAGGTGTCGGTTGTGGTTCATCCATCTGTGCTTGTAGAGGTCGCGCCACAGGGAGTCGGTCGCGACCACGGCGCGCCACCGGCTCGACACGCGCGACAGGCTGCCCACATCCCTCAACACCGCCGCTGCACAACATGCCGCCTCCTCACCCCTGGTCGCCGGCGAGCTGCTTCGCACCAGCACCACCCTTCGAACTATTTCCAGCAGCACCTCATCTGGCAGCTCCTCCATCTTCATCAATGAACAAAGACTTTTCTATTTATTTATAATGTGATTTTTCCTCTTTTGGTAAATAGCACAAGAAAAAAAGAAAAATATTGATAATAAAACTAAAGTGGGTCTGCTCGTGTTCCCTTCTCTTCACACGACACGCAAGCTACTACGACGAAGATGAACACGCAGGCCGTGAGACGAGTGCAGGTTATCGGCAACCACATGGCTGGAGCTGGTTCTGCCCCCTCCCCCTTGCACCAACCAGCGCCCCATGAGTTCTGCTGCTAACCAGAAAGCCCAAAAATCTAGAGTCGATTGGCGCCCTTGCTGCCAACAGCGCCAACGCTTGTACGCCTCTCCCATTTGATTCTTCATTCTTTAATCGAATCGAGTAGCGGGTGAGATTAACATTTCCTTTTCCTCTGCGCGCTAGTGCGGGATGAGGTGAAGGGCCGCAGCGCGCCTCAAAACCGCAGCTTCGCCAACGTGGACGAGATGAAGAAGGCCGTCGGCACCGAGGTCGGCGTAAGCGGCTGGCTCGAGATCACCCAACAGGCACCTTTAATACTATTTGAATTTATCTTATAATTATTTTTATTAATAATAATTAAATAATTATTTATGTGTTTTTGCAGCGTGTGAACACGTTCGCCGATGCCACCTGCGATTGGCAGTGGATTCACACCGAGCCCGAGCGCGCCAAGAAGGAATCCCCCTTCGGTACGCGACACACGGCACACATGACACAACCCTTCCCACTGACACGACCACGACCATGACACGACACACGCGCGACGCACGACACGACACGACACGCAGGCGGTCCCGTCGCTCACGGCTTCCTGACGCTCTCGCTGGCGCCGTTCCTCAACGCCGAGGCCATTCCTCGCCTGGAGGGTACGCCGTCGATCTTCTTCTTCTTCATCACCATCACCATCATCATCAGTGGTGGTGACAATGGACGCTGATGACGATGGTGGTCGATAGGAGTGAAGATGGGAGTCAACTACGGCCTGAACAAGGTCCGCTTCATCGCGCCCGTGCACGTCGGCGCCAGCGTGCGCACGCGCGTCACCCTCAAGGAGGTGACCGACGTGCCCGGCGGCATTCAGGTCATCATCGAGGGCACCTTCGAGGTCAAGGAGAAGGTAACCAGTGTGCTCCGGTCGTGTCGTGTCGTGGTGTGTGGTGTGTGGTGTGTGCGTGTCGTGCGTCGTACGAACGTTGCTGACTTGGTGTGTGTGTGGGTGGCCAGGGCAAGAGCGAGCCGTCCAAGAAGCCCGTGGCGATCGTCGAGCAGATCGCGCGCTACTACGTGTAAGAGTTGGCACATCACTGCCAAGAGTCTTCTCAGAAACATAAACCTCCTTGTTCTACCGAGTCGCACACGCGCGTGTGCGTGTGCGGTGTGATGGTGGTATCAATCGGCGAGGAAGGGCCCGGCGGCGAGGAGGAGGTTGCGGTGGGTGAACTTGAGTGAGTACACGGGCGTCTTCTTCGTCGCGAACGTCTTCAACAGCTCCGGCGACCTGGTCACCCCCCAAACAATCAAGCAGAGCCCATCACGTCAGCAATCGCACGCTCGAGGTGTGGGAGAGATGTGGGAGAGGAGGGTACTTGGTGACGGGACGCTTCTTGCCGTGCTTGCCGGCGTCGTCGGAGGTGGCGAGCGCTGCGGTGCTGAAGCTGGCCGACGGCAGGATGGGCGCGGGCGCGGCGCCGCCGGTGATGGAGGCCGTCGCGGCGGCGAGCCCTGCGGACGGTGCCGTGGCCGCCGATCGGTCCATCGCCCACAGCCGCACCGTCTGTTTAGTTTGATTGTTTGGTGTCGTCAGGCCCGACGACCACGGAATGTCAGGCACGCGACGCCAATGATGGGGGAGAAGAGAGTGTGGGGTGTGTGCGTACGTTGTCGGCCGAACCGGAGGCGAGGAGTGTGCCCTCGGCGGAGAAGTCGAGCGACCAGATGGTCTTCTCGTGGTGGCCCGACAGCACCTTGACGCGCTTGCCCGTGCCCAGGTCCCAAATCATCACCGTCTTGTCCTCACCTTTTGTAGGAGAGCGAGGGTATGTGAGTGCCGTGTGTGTGTGCCGTGTGTGTGTGCCGTGTGTGTGTGTGTCGTGTGTGTGTCGTGCCAAGGTACCAGCGGAGGCGAGCAGACGGCCGTCGGGGGAGAAGGCGAGGGCGTAGACGGGACCGAAGTGGCCGGTGAAAATGCGCACGCAGTTGCCCGAGTTCATTTCCCAGAGCCTGATCGACTTGTCGCTCGAGCCCGTGGCCACGTAGTTGCAGTTCGGATGGAACTTGACGCACTGTGCGGGCGGAAGCAAAGCACCGAGTTGGTCGGTCGGTCGGTCGGTTGATGAAAAGGCCACACGACACTTTCACACGAACAGCACAGCAGCAGCAGCAAAAACAGAAACTGATGGAATGGAATGGCGACGTACGTCGACGTCGGACAGGTGGCCCGCAAAGATGCGAAGCGGGTAGATGTGGTCAGTGCTCCACAGGCGCGCCGTTCGATCGTGGCTGGCCGTCGCGAAGTAGTACCCAAGAGGACTGAACTCGACGTCCCACACGGGGTAGTTGTGTCCCCGATAGCAGACGAGGTTCGTTCGAGTCTCGAGGTTCCACAGGCGCGCTGGTACCCATGAAACCGCACGTAAGACACACACACACACCACACACGACACACACACGACACACACACACACGACACACCACACGACACACATACGAGAGGAAGGGAGGGTACCGGTGTTGTCTTCGGAAGCGGAGATGAGGTACTGGTTGTCGGGGCTGAAGCTGCAGGCGTAGACTGGACCCGAGTGGCCCAGCAGCTGCACATAGTCCGTCGAGCGCTTCCGCGACGTGGGCGCCTCCTCCTTGCCCGTCCCAAAAATGCGCTGGTGGTCCTTTTGCAGGTCCCACACTTTGATGGACGAGTCCGCGTAGCCCCCGGCCACCACGCTCGCATCACGCGTGATGTCGACACAATTGATGCTACGCAGCACAGCACAGCCACAGGTCGGTGATGAGTTCAGTGAAGCTGACAAAGATCGGCGCTCGAAGGGTGGGGGTGTTCACCTGTTGTGAGAGTTGAGGAAGGTGAAGAAGCAGATGGAGGGGAGCGAGGCGGACGAGAGCGCCACGCGCCTTCTCAGGTCCTCCAATCGCTTGATCTCCAGAGTTTCGTTTCTGGAATCAGGAATGAGGGCCACACTTGGTCAGCTGACTGCGCTCCGCACTGCAGTGAGCGGGCGAGCGAGTGTGCGCGGGGGCATGTGCGGGCGTGGACGTACAGGGAGGGAACGGGGATCATGGACTTGATGGTCTCGATTGGTGGCCCCGCGGGTTCAGTCGGCTCCGTCTTTACTCGCTTGACCGGAGTTTCCTTGGCCTGCAATCCAATCAGGGCCACCGCATCATAAGCGGGGAACGCGTGACGACGCAGACACGACACGACGCGACAATACGCGACACGCCACACGATGCGAAGTTGGATCGGAGAGGTGCTGGTCAGGGTGTACCTTCTTGGCTTCTTCCTTTTCCTCGTCTTTTTCCGCGTCTTTCTCGATGTCCATTTGGCTGTCGTCCTTCCCGGCGTCCTCCTTCTCTTTCTCCTTTTCCTTCTCCTTTTCTTTCTCCTTCTCCTTCTCCTTTTCCTTGGTCTTGGCCTCCTTTTCGGCCGCTTCCTCCTTGAGGTGCGCCACCTGCTCCTCGAGCAGGCCCCAGTGTACCTCCTTGCGGTTGATGTTGTCCACCTCCTCCGCCGACTGGCCGGTGATGGCGTCGTACTCCAACTCGGCCAGCTCATCCGGTTCACCGCTGAACACTGCGTTTCATCATCACACCAGATCATCATCGCACCGCACGCACCGCACACATCCATTAGTGTGTTGTGTGTGTGTGTGTGTGTGTGGTGTGTGTGGTGTGTGTGGTGTGTGGTGTGTGTGTGTCGTGTGTGTAGAAGAAATCAAATACCCTTGATGTCGAGATACTGGTTGGCAAGACCCAGCAGCAGGGTCATCTTCGGCTGTTCGAGGAAGGCCACCAAGAGGTTGGCGCTGTAGCGGCACATGCGGACGGGTGACTTGAACTTGCGGAACTTCTGCGCCACCTGCACACGATGGATGATGATGACGACGACGACGATGATGATGCTCACTACATAAGAACGAGCACCGAGTAGTAGTAGTTGTAGTTGTAGTGGTAGCAAACATACCTGGTTTTCTTCGATCTGCTGCTTGCTGGTGACGGCCTGCAAACGCTGAATCTCGTCCAGGTGGAGATCCTCGTGTTCGACCAGATGCTTCTGCAAGAAGCCCATGGCTGAGGCCACACCAGGAAGCGAGGCGAGGGGTTCATCATGACATGAGCGATGAGGTTGGCGACGACGCCAGCGGAGACCAAGTAGCGTAGGAGTAGTGGTACGTACCGGCGTCGGGGCGGTTATCCGCCACCATGTCGAGATAGAGGTGCACGAACACCGGGTACAGCACACCCATCAGCTCAAACTGCAGGCGAAGAGGAAAAAGATGAGCCTTTTTCGGTTTGCACTGCCCAGAGGCTCAACTTCTTTCGGAAAGCGAAATGGGCTGATGAAGAATTATACTAGATATTAAATGATGATTTAATTTGTAGGGGGTTGGGCGCAGACGAGGTGATGGAGTGGATGGGGAAAGGAATGGGACCTTGTATCGGTCGAGGGAGGCGTAAATCCAATCGCGCAGTGCGATGTAGGCCTCATCGTAGCGCTCAGGCGAACGATCGATGGTGCCGAAGGAAGAAATGAGATTTGTAATGCTCGCTTCGCTATCGAGCGCGGCTTCAAAGGTGGCCTGCTCTGCTGTCCGTTCGCCCCCATGGCCAGCCGGAGCCGCAGCGCGAGCCAATTCCTGCTGCATAATGGCCGCGGCGGCCTTGTAGCCCTTCCTCTTTAGATAGAGGAGGATCTGATTATCTGTCTCCCTCTCCTTGCTGCTCATCTTGCCTTTATTTGTGTGACGAAGATCTCTGTCCCCAAGATGAAACAAGCAAAACCGCCCGTGGTGAATTTTGAAACAAAAATTACACGTTTCGCAAACTTTTCGCTCAGCAAAGAAAGCCGTTACACCCGCCAACAGAATGAAAAATGGAAGACGACAAGACCGATGACGAAGGCAACGCTGCCCAAATCTCGGTGACGAAGGGTCGCCCGTCCGGTCGGCCTGGTTCTGGGCACAGAATAATTCTATTATTCGATAAAGGAACAGGGATTTATCGGCATAAGCGGCACGTCGGCCGTGTGGGGAATTTCTCTCTGATTCCACCGTTTCTCGCCCCTTCTGGAGTTCGCGAGATGTTCGGTTGACGAACTGAATTGAACACACGACATCACGGGAGTACGGGTCTGGGATGAATCCGACGGACTGCCAAACTCCACCGGACCAACCACCAGCGGCCAGGGTCCTTCACACTGATCAATTGTTCGTAATCCCTATCAGATTTCTCCCAACTCCTCCTCGGGGCCAGGTCCTACTGGTTTCGGTGTTGGTTTCCGCCCCTGGGGTACAAATATTGCAACCTACCTTCTCCACTATCATCACCACCACCACCAACTACTGCTTCAACCTCAAGCATTAGCAGCAGCAAGCAGCATCCACCAACAAGTGTTGAACTTGGTCTTCTTCTTCAACAGAACACACAAACAAAGACAGCAGCATGGCCATCAAATCCATGACCTGGACCCTCCTGCTGGTCCTGCTCTCGACCTGCCTGCTGGCCCTCGTGGCCGCCCAGACGCCCGCGCCCGAGACCTCCCCCGTGCCCGAGGCCTCGCCCTCCGAGCCTGCTCCCTCGCCGCCTGCCGAAGGCGGTGGCGATGGCGGCGACCTGGAAACGATCCTCACGCCCGCGCTCGACCTCCAAAACGGCTTCAAGCTCACCGACGACGGCACTGGGTATGTTTTGCAATTGTCGCCTCTCTTTTATTGACATGCGTGTTGGTGTGTGGTGAAGACGATGCTAATTCTACTCCACCAACATGTTCATTATCAACAGATTCATTGCCAGCCACGGCAACTCCAGGTTCACCATGCGCCTGACCTGTCTGCGTGAGGTGGGCAAGGGCGGCGGTGGCGCCGTGCAGGAGGCCGCCCTGGCCCTCGGCCAGAAGCAGGTCATCAGGCCTCAGGCGCTGTGGGACCCCGACCTCGACTCCGTCTACTCTGTACATCTCCCACTCCTCTCAAATCGCTTTGATTTTCCATTGGCCCGCGTCGTTTCGTGGCTAACCGGAAATTTTTTCGCTTGGTGCGTTTTTTTAAATCCATTAGGAATTCAGCCAGAACGTTGGCATTGCCAAGCCCGAGGGTGCCGTGTTCAACTGGAACATCAAGTCCTTCATCGACAAGTACCACATGGAGGCCGTGCCCGGCTCCAAGCAGTTCATCGCCCTCCTGCCCGGCAACGTTAAGGCCAACATCCAGATCGAGTGGCCCGTCAAGTCCTACCTCAACGGCTTCCAGGTGTGCACCGAGGTCACCTGGGACATCGCCGACGAGGACTTCTACATGTTCATGAACAACAACACCCTGCCCGGCCAGAAGAAGAACCTCACCGCCGAGCCCACCGTCTCCTACACCGTCGCCAAGGGTACTTTCTACTCTTTTTCTGTGTATATATAGATCATATCACACAATATCATATATAATTATATTGACGTATATGTTATGTTAATTCACAGACAGCAAGGGACGCACCACTGGGTTCACCCTGAACGGCCCCTACACGTTCGCCTACCTGTGGCCCGGGCGTGGTGGCTTCACCTTCCTCAGCAAGAACCCCTACGCCAAGTCGGGCGAGCCCCACTTCGCCAACCTCAACGTGACCCTCAACAAGGCCAAGTGGACCCAGAAGGGCAGCGTCGAGGTGGTGGTCACCAGCGACCGCGCGGCCGAGAAGATCATGCTCGACCCGCTCATGGACATCGAGGGCGGCTGGGCCTCGGGCCTCCTGCCCAACCTGGCCCTCCTCCTGGCCGTTCTCTTCTCCTACGCCTCGCTCTCCCACCTGCTCTAAGCCAGCCGACTCCGCGTTGCTCTGCAACCGACCGCCAATCCCGACCAGCTATATCTTTAAAATGTGCGATACAACTACAACCATATGTTTTTTACTTTCTCTTCTCTTGGAGTGATCACGATGTTGATCACTCTCGCTATATCAAGATATGATAAAATAAACTTCTCTGCCACATAAACAATCATAACATAAATAGAACTCCTTCATGGGTTGTCTGCGTCGTTGATGTTGAGCCGTCGCCGTGTTCGGCTGTCCTCGTCTTCGTCTTCATCATCTCCTCGGCGCTCTTCATTGTCTTCCCGTTCGTCTTGTTGTCGTTGTCGTTGTAGTTGCTGCTGCAGTTGGCGACTTCGTTCTTGTTCGTGTCGTTGATGTCGCTGCCTTCGCACCTCCTCCTCCCGCGTGCGCTCCCGGCTCTCGGCGTCGCTCGCGCCGTCGTCCCATGACGCCGGCACGTCGATCTGCAGCCGCACCGACGACGGCCCGCCGTCGCCGCTCTCCTCGCCACTGCCGGTCGTCGTCCGCCGGCGGTCTTCGTCATCGACGCTCTCCTCGCGGCCAGCGCCGGCGGCCAGCGACGGCAGCGGCATCGACGAGGCGGCCGAAGTGGTCGCGCCGGCGGATGTCGAGAGGGACGACGAGCGCCGGAGGCCGGCCGTGAGCGTGCGGCGCACGCCCGAGCTCGAGAGGTCGACGTAGCACGACGAGGCCGCGACGAGTGCGGGGTCGCGCGTCTCCTCGGCCTTGATCTCCATGTACTCCAGTATCTCGCGGAAGCACGGCCGCACCTCCGGCTCATCGTCCCAGCACCTGTCGTGTTGCGTGTGCGGTGGTGCGTGTGCGTGTGCGGTGGTGCGTGTGCGTGTGTGGTGGTGCGTGTGACTGCCTTGACGATGGCGACTAGTGTGGGCGAGGGCGAGGGGGTGGTACCGCTGGATGATGTCGAGAAGGCACGAGGGGAACTCGTCGGACGGTGCGGGCAGCCGCGGCCGCAGCTTCTCCGTGACGACCTTGTTGATGATCTCGAACAAATTGATGCCCACGTAGGGCTCCTCTCGCGTCATCAGCTCCCTGTTGCGTTGGTAGTTTTTTTTTGTATTAGTATTATTTTATAATTATAACATTAACAACACTACAAAAATATTATTAATTAGTATTGAATATTGCGGGAGGGGCGCACCACATGATGATCCCAAAGCTGTACACGTCTGACTTCTCAGTGTAAACAGACGAACGGAGGACCTCAGGGGCCGAATACCTTTGATACCACGCGTGGTTAATGTGAGCTGTGTGTGTCGTGTGTGTGTCGTGTGTGCCGTGTGTGCCGTGTGTGTCGTGTCTCGGCGTGCGTACATGGGAGTGCCGACGGCCGTAATGGTGTGGTTGACCTTGCACGAGAGGCCAAAGTCGGTCACCTTCAGGTTGAGACTGTCGTCCACTAGAATGTTCAGGCTCTTCAGATCTGTTTCATTGGTTAGCCTTAGCTACTACCACCCCACTACCACCCCACCACCGCCACTACCACCGCCCACCACCGCCCTCCACCTGCAGAGCCCATTTGCGTACCCCTATGTACAATGGAGGGTTTGTGGGAGTGGAGGTAGAGCATGCCGCGGGCGATGTCGCGCCCCATCAGGAACTTGCGGTGGAGCGTGATCTCTCGGTCGGAGTGAATGACGTGGTACAGTGAGCCCTGCGTCATGAACTCCATCACTACAGCACACAAACGCGCACCAAGCCGATGAGTGCGGTGTGTGCGGTGTGTGCGGTGTGTGCGGTGTGTGCGGTGTGTGCGGTGTGTGCGGTGTGTGCGGTGTGTGCGGTGTGTGCGGTGTGTGCGGTGTGTGCGGTGTGCATGTCGAATGTCAGGAATCCGTTACCGATCGAAAAGTGTGGGGCCTGCATGCAGGCGCCGATGAACAGCACAATCTGCGCACAAAGAGGAAAAAGATTAGTTTATACTTTTTAAAAGTAGAGAATTAAGATTTTTAAAATGAGTAAAATGATGTGTCAGGGCGCGTACGTTGGGGTGGTGCAGCTGGCGGAGGAGTTCGACTTCGTTCTCGAACTGTTTGAGTTCGGTGTGCTGCATTTGGGTCTGATAGAGAGTCTTGATGGCCACATTGATGCCGCGCCAGAACCCTCTGCAGAGCGATCCGGTTTCATGTTAGCGTTGCCCTATGGTGGCATGTCACGACAGCTGGCGCGCGCGCGCGCGGATCAAACCTGTGGACTTCGGCAAAGTTGCCTCGGGCCAGCGGCTCCACGATCTCGAGGTCGTCGTAGTCGATGCGCCAGTCGTCCGACAGCCTGGTACAATCACAACGCGGGAAAACAGCAGCAACTCAACATCAACTGAATACGTTGCTGCAGCCGACCGCGCAGAAGTGAGTGGCGAGGGGGTGTACGTCAGCAGTGGCAGAGTGGACGAGTTGTTGCCAAACTTAGTTCCCGCGTATCCTGCATCAGCGTTAAGCCACACGAAACGTTTTCGTTAATCGCCAGAAAATAATATATAATAAAAAATAATTATAGATAATTATTGTTCATAATTATAAAATATAATATGATATATGCATGGGCGAGAACAGGCGTACCTTTCTTGCGCCACTCGATGGAATCGGCGGACAGTGCGGACACGTAGACAATGACGAAGAACAGCGAGGAGAGGGCGCTCTGGGCCATGGCCACACTGCGAGAGGACAGCTGCGGTGAGTCGAGCTATATTTTAATGTTTTAAAAAAGAATATAGAAAATAAAATAGATTGTTGTAGCGGGTGGCCGTACCAGGAGGCGCCGTCGATATCGAGGTACCTCAGCACCGCGGTCGCAGTGGACATCAGCCACACCGCCACGAGCACGAACAGGAAGCGCTGGAGCGCCCGACGAGCTGTGTCCACAGATCATAACGTCGGTTCGAGGGCTCGGACGCGAGAAGCAAAGTAGAGAAAAGAAGAAGCGTAGGTGGTACCAGCGAAGGTGCGAAGGTACGGCACGTAGGGCACCACGAGCAGGGTGAGGTAGATGAGGAACCAGACGCCGTTGTAGAGGATACCGAAGAAGCTCCAGTCGGTGTTCGTGGAGGTCCACTCGCTACCGGGATTCGCTATGAAGTACTGTGTTTGCCATGGACCACGAAGACACACAGTTACAAGAGACGAAACACTCACGACACACACACGACACACACACACACACGGTGATGGTGATCAAAGCGCTACGAAGAGGAACGAACCCATCCGCTGGCCACCAGGCCCGCGATGAAGATGGAGCCTACGATGGATTTCAGCAGCGAGCGCCGAGACAAGTCCGACATGTGCATCCAAATGATCAGCGTGCTGTGAAAACGTCAATAGCGTGTTAGCGGTTTGTTTTCCATGTAACCACACACACGGCCCAAATTGTGACTATTTTGTCGTTGATTGGAGGAGGGCGTGGGCAGGCGACGAGCGCACCGCCCACACGACCACAAATTATGCTGTCTGCTGGCCCAGTAGGGCAGCAGTAGCCACCACCACGCACAACCCGAGGTGCAATGGAAGGGGGTGGCGTCTAAGGGACCCGCCTTCTTGATCGCAGGTCCCTCCAGCAAGGTACGTATGCTGGGCCGGTGGGCCGCTTTGGCTGTATGTGCCCAGCGCGTTGGGCGCCAACTTGTGGGACGAAGAATTCCGGAACAAAACAAAAGCACAGCGCCAACCAATCACACGCGCCGACCAAGTTGAAGCGGTGGACCGCACGACACGCACGCGCGACATTGACACGACACGACACGCACGATGCTAGTGGAGGGAGAAGCGGTACTTGCAGAACATGGAGAGGCCAAAGATCTCGACGACGGTGAGGACGATGGCGAGGATGCTGTTGATGGGCGCCAAGAACAGGCTCACGATGAGCCACACCATGAACAACATGAGGATCTGCAGCCACCGTATGTAGATTGGCAGCAGCTGGCGTTCAAACTGTTTGAATGTGAAATGGTGATTAATGAACAAAAGTCATAGATTTGATTATTCGTATTAATTAATTGAATGCAAGAATCAAAAAATGTAAAATAAATCTAAAGGTGGGGGCGATGTACAGCGAGGGTGCCAGTGAGGGCCTTTCTGAATTTGGTGATGATTTTCCACCATAAGTGGTAGAGGAGGAAGAGGAGCGGGATGGTGTAGATGACGAGCAGGAAGACGGGCACGTTGAGGTACGTGATCTTGCCTTCCATCACATAATCGCACACGCTCGCCACCGAGCACGCATTCTTCGAAATGCACCAGCCTAGCGCCGAGGTCGGACTGGATAGGCCCAGCAAAAGCAAGATGAAGGCACCATTGGAAGAGGGCCGTAGCGATGAGGTGATGAAGTGGGAGATGGAGCGATCCATAGGTTGGAGAATGAAATTTACGTTGTGACGATTTTTCGATAATCGAAGAATCGAGCTGGGGGCAGGAGGATGATGATGATGATGTCGAAGTGTGTCAGGGACGTCGTGCAAGCATCCCTCGAGTGTGCCGACCTACGTTCGCGATGCGATTGCAGTGGTTGAAATGGCGAAGCGAGTTCCTGTCTTGTCTGTTAGAAATTGCCCTTTTACCCAAACAAGCAAACTAGTCAGCCACATCTACGCCCAATCCTGGCGCCCCAATTCAGTGACGAACAAGTGAGCAGGCGGCTGTGTTGTGGTTCTTTACACCCTTCATTACTTACCACACACCACCAGCCACTTATGTACAAGCCGGCAAGAGTCTTGCCGCTAGGACTGATGATGCGCCCAAAGCTCGCGTGAAGCTGTGGTGAACGGTACGAAAAACGAACTGACCACATCCTCAGAGACCTGTGATCAGAAAGAAACGTGAGCCAGGTGGGAAGGTCGAGGTTGGAACTCACCTCTTCGTGGTGCGAAGGCTTCCAATGCGGGTTGTGGTGCTTCTCGATGATGACCGCATTCACGCCTTCGATGAAGTCGTGGCTCTCCATGAACCGGCACGCCACTCTGTACACGCAGCTTCATTTAGTCCACTTGCTCTACTCAACTGAAGTACAGGCAGTTTTTGAACCCACCTCAAGTCCATCTCGAACACTTCATCAATGGACATGGCGCGGCCCTTCTGCAACGCCGCAAATGTGACCTAGTAATGTAGTTGCGTGTCGTAAGAATTGACGGCGCGCTGCGGTGAAGGTGATGGCGGTCATAGAGGCGGACGTCTGTACCTTGACGGAGGTGGGCGATTTCTTGTGGAGGATCTTGTGCGCGGTCTCGGCCCATGCGTTCTTGTCCTTTTCCTCCTGCAGCCGCTCGTAGATCTCTTCGGCCGAGGCAACGTGGAAGTACCTCTGGATGCTCGCCTCGTGCTCCACCACTTCGATCTGGCCCTCTTTTGTTCCACAACATCATCGTCTCATCAGTCTACGCTGCTCGTGCGTATCTGGTGTGTATCATTATCGTGCCCCACGTACCGGGCTGCGAGGCGTAAGTCGACAGTACGGAGTCGACCGCGACAGCCCCGAAATCTGTTTTGCACAGTTCCTCCTGTCGTGTTTTGCGATTGAAAGTAAGTGTGTGCGTGTGCGGTGGTGTGTGCGTGTGGACGTGCGTGTGCGTACCTCGAGCTTAGCCAACTTGGCCTTGGGCACGAAGTGCGTGGCTATGTTACAGTGCAAAACATCGGGCGCCCCCAATCGTGCGCCCATCAACGCCAGGTAGTTGCCCACGCCGTCTGGCAAGCGAGACAGGAAATAGCTGCCGCCCACATCAGGGAAGAAACCGATCGCTGTCTCGGGCATCGCAAACGTGGTCGACTCTGTGGCTACGCGGTACTTGCAACCTGAGCGAACACGGCACGCGCGCAGTTGGTCAGTGTCAATGTCAAAGCGCCAGAATGGGCGGAGTAGTGTGCGGCACCGATGGCAAGCCCGACGCCGCCGCCCATGGTGATGCCGTTGATGAGCGCGAGGCACGGCTTCTTGAGGTGATGTATGAAACAATCAAGCCGGTACTCCTCGCCGAAGAAGCGGTGCGGGTAGGCGTAGTTGCCCTTCTTCGACTCCTCCGCCAGCACTCTGATGTCACCACCTGCGTGTCGTGTCGTGTGTGCCGTGTGTTGTGGTGCATGCACGTGTTATTGATTGTGTCGTGTGCGTGTGCGTGTGCGTGTGCGTGTGCGGTGGTGCGTGTCAAGCGCGTGGACGGTACCCGCGCAGAAGGCTCGGTCGCCAGCGCCTTTCAGGACGATCAGCTTCACGTCCCCGCTGCTTTCGGCCTCCCGAAAGACTTGCCACAGCAGTTCGACCATCTCTGCAGAGCGAAAGAATTTCCATTGTGTAAGAGCACGTGGAGGAGACACCGGATTGTGGAGAGGTGGGTGTTGAACCCATGTTGAGGGCGTTGAGTGCACGGGGTCGGTTGAGAGTGACCACCAGGCAGCCATTGGGGTGCAAGACTTTCTCGACCACTCGCTGCTCCCCGCTTGCCGCCCCATTCTTGGTGGAAAAGTTGATTAGTATTACAAATCTCAGCCAAATAAAATCACAAGAGCAGATGTGTGCTTTGTGATTGGCAAGTACCGGTGAAAGGTGCGCCGCTAGAGTGCCGAGTCGTTTGCTGCTTTGCCGCTGCATGTTTCTTGTGGTGTGCTGTGTGCGTATCCAGCTTTTTTTCAGTCCTATCTGTTTTTTAAATGAATTACAAACTGCATTTCAAAATACGTTGAGATTCTTTGCCCTTTTCGGGCTTTACTTTCATCAAATTCTTGCATTCTTGGCTCCCTGTCGCGCAGCTTCCTTTTCTGCTGTTTACATAAAACACCCTCACTTGTTCTTCTCCCCAACCTCTCTCGCACACGTTCTAGTGGAGTGGGCCACGATGGCTCGTCGGTCCGGCCTCGCCTTTCTGGTGGTACTGGCGTTTGTGGTGCTGCTCAAGGCTGCCGGGGCGGACATCGCCCTCCGTCGCTTCTCCGACAATCCACTGGTGGACCCCTCCTCGTTCGCCCCCAACAACACTCACGTTCGAGCAGAACGGGTGAGCAACATCAACTTTCCGTCGGTCATCCGCGCTCCGAGCTGGTTCACCCCGCGTCTGGGCAATATTACATGTACTTCTCCGACCACCACGGCCTCTTTGTGCGCCTGGCCTACGCCGACCGGGTCGAGGGGCCGTGGACGGTCTACCCGCACCCGACCCTCACCCTGGCCCAGGTCTACGCGGCCAACAACGTCACCTACAACGAGTCCAGCCTCTCGTACAAGGCCGAGTGCACCTCGCCCGACGTCCACGTGGACCACCAGGCGCGCGTGGTCCGCATGTACTTCAAGCACCGCATCCCCACCTACCACTACGCCATACTCAGCGGCGTGGCGGTGTCGCGCGACGGCCTGGGCTTCGCCCCGCGCGGCGGGGCCATCGGCCTCTCCTACGTGCGCGCATTCACGTGGGCCGGCGACCGCAACTACACCTACATGCTCGACCGCAACTACACCTACATGCTCGACCGCCACGGGAACATGATGCGGTCGGCCGACGGCTACGGCGGGTGGGAGCCGGGCAACGGCCTGGTCGGCAAGGCCTTCGCCAACCAGAGCATGATCAACGGCGGCGACCAATACACGGGCCGGGTGCGGCACGTAGGTGTGAGCGTCGCAGGCCACACGCTCCACGTGTTTGGCAGTCGCGTGGGTGACGCGCCCGAGCGCATTCTGTGGGCGTCGATGGACCTCCGCTGCACGCTGGTCGATTGGAGGACCTGCGCGCCGGTCGGGCCGGCGGTCGACGCCTTCCGAGGGGTGATGGCCTACGAGGGCGCGGAGTACCCCGTGGTGCCCTCGCGCGAAGGCGACGCCATCGACGTCAACCAGCTGCGCGATCCGTTCCCTTACGCGGACGATGGCAAGTGCTTCATCTTCTACACCATCGCCGGCGAGAGCGGAATCGCCGGTGGCCGCATCGCAGACACCTTCTGCGATCACCAGCCATGAGCCACTGACCACCGCGCGGTCTGAAAGTGCTCCGTGTAATCTTTGTTATTTTTGTAATTTTTTTAAATTTTAGTATTTTATTTGCTCGGCTTGGAAGATGGAGCTGCCATCGACAGAGGGCATGCAGGTGCATAGCGGGTTCGACGACTGCGTGGGCAACACGCCACTCATTCTGCTGTCGTCGCTCTCCCACGCCACTTCCTGTCTCATCTATGGTGCAATATTATCCCATCTCATGAGGTTTAGCTTAGATTTTAACGGTTACCGGTCCTGCACTCAAACATTAATCTTCCAAATCATCCCTTCGAGATGTGCAGGTAAGGCTGAGTTCATGAGCCCTGGGGGCAGCGTGAAAGATCGCGCCGCTCTCTACATGATCAACGCTGCCGAACGCGACGGCCACTTGACCAAAGGAGGTACGTAGTGCATCTGCTGTGGATTCAAAAGAGGCGTGCAGCCCGGGCTGATGTGTCTCTTGATGCTTAAAGATTGGCTTGTAGAGGCGACGGCCGGCAACACTGGTACGCGTCAAAGAACTCGTGCGGTCGTTGTGAGCGACCGTAGTACTTGCGTCCCCCACGCTCTCACACGGGAGTACGTTTGTCAGGCATTGGTCTGGTGCACATCGCCAACCAGCGGGGATACAAGTGCGTTGATTCTCCCGACTCCTATGATGATGATGGTGCGTGGAGCTCCACCCATGATCATCAACACGTTGCGGTGCTGTCAGGTGCCTATTTACCTGTTCTGCGGCGACTTCGGAGGAGAAGATCCGATACCTCCAGACCCTGGGCGCTGAGGTCGTGCGCTGTACCTCGGTCCCTTCATCACGTACGGCCCACCAGTAGAATCCTCCGCTCGCTCTCCTGCATATACGACTCACACGCTTCGTAAATCACGGCCGTGGCGCGCAGACCCTGATCACTTCCAAAATATGGCGAAGAGACTCGCGGAGGAGCGAGGTACCACCTTTCTTACCCACGCACGCACGCAGCCAGCACAGTGTAATCTGACTGAGCTTCGCTTTTCAGGCGGATTCTTCGTGAACCAATTTCAGAATCTGAACAACATGAACGCGCATTATACTACAACCGGACCAGGTAGAAACGTCTTCTTCTCCTCCTCCTTCTTCTCGCAAGCCCGCTCACGTCCACTTTCACTTTGATTTAGAAATCTGGCGCGACACTGCCGGACGGGTCGACGGCATTGCCCTCGCGGCGGGCACGGGTGGCACCATTGCAGGCACCTCGCGCTACCTCAAGGTGAGTGGAACGATCCGCATTGATGCACTCATGATCGTGCAACGATGGTCGATGACTGACAGAGATGCGCCTGGTGGTGACGAGCAGGAGCGAAACAAGGCGGTCCGGGTGGCACTTATTGACGTCCCTGGGTCGGGTATTCTCGCTGAACGCAAGCCCGATGAGCCGCTACTCGTTCTGCGGCAGAAGACGGAGGAGGAGAAGGCCAAGAGTGGCTCCTCGGTGATGGAGGGCATCGGTGCGTCGGCCTGTCCTGCGTCGCTTTGCGCCATTTCGTCGTTGCTTGTCTCTCATGTGATGAGCGCGCAGGGAGTTCGCTGCTGTATGCCAACCTGGCGCAGGCGCAGCTGGACGACGTGCTGCACGCCGATGAAGATGCAACGGCCATTGAAATGGCTCACTACATGCTCCGCAAGGAAGGCATTTTCCTCGGTAGGTCGTGTCGTGTGTCGTGTGTCGTGTGTGCGTGTGTCGTGTGGTACCAACTTACGCGTTCTTCCTAGGATCGTCGGGTGCGTTGAACTGTGTGGCTGCGTACCTTCTGGCCAAGAAGCTGGGGCCGGGCCACTGCGTGGTCACCTTCCTCTGCGACAGCGGGTCGCGCTACGAGTCCAAGATCTACAACCCGGCCTGGCTCAAGGAGAAAAACATCACCATCGGTCCTGCCGAAGACCTCTCCTTCCTGCGGCACATCGAAGAGCTCAACGGCATCCCTCCCGCTTGACGAGGCCCCGCTCGACAACTGATGTGTTCGTTTCCCTTTCCCGCGCTCGTCGACAAACAAGAAACCCTTTGCTGACGAGGCAGGCAGAGCAAAAAAAGATCGATCAATCAATTGATCAAATCTATATTAGAAGATGGGCAAGTACTCTACGCTGCCGCTGTTTGTTATGCTGTCTGGACTGGGCGTAGTGATTCTCCTGTCGTTGTGCGCTACGGGTGGCGACGCCTTTGTCTTCGTGATCCCGCCCCGTGAGGAACTGTGCGTCTACGAGAACGCAAAGCCGAGCTACTTCGTCACAGTCCAGTTCCAGGTGCTCGAAGGCGGACACCAAGACGTCGATATCAAGGTGCATATACCTTCTTTCATTTCACATCTTACGAATTCACATTTGAATCTTGCAGCAGATTTCAATCTTACACATCACTACGTTGAAATGGTACTAATGATGGTGCTCGTGGCGTACAGTTCACATTCAAGGATAAGAACGCGGCGAATGGCGTGGAGAGGTTGCTGATGGTGGCGCAACGTCGAAGCGAGGAGAAGTACACCTTCACCGTCGATCAGGTTGGCGAGTACCAGTTCTGCTTCAGCAACCTGATGTCCCTCTCGAGCTACAAGACCATTAACATCGCTACAGTGGTCACCCTCCCTCGCGCGGTCGTTGTTGAAGGTACTGACCATCCAATAGTCGCGTAAGTTGTTTAATGCCATGCTTACATGTGGTGCGTGTTTTGTCAGAGTTCATGGACCCGCTCGATGAGGTGGTGAAGCAACTGGGCTCGAGTGTTGAGGTGGTCAGGGACGAGCAGCAAGTCATGAAGCAGCGCGACGTGGTCACCACCAACCGTGCGCATCCACCGTCTATTCGCGCTCGTGAAGTGGAACTACAAAAATACTCACCGCTTCAAACATGTAGTGGCCGATGCGACGAACGCGCAGGTGTTCTGGTTCTCGGTGGTGGAGTTCGTGATTCTCTTCGCCAGCGTGGGCTACCAGGTCTTTAACATTACGCGCATGTTCGAAGGTACCCCAACCCTCCATCGTAACAGTGCCTGTGTGAGAAGACTCTGACCCATCATCACCATGGTCGCTTGCTGTGATTCTAGTGAAGCGAGTGTTGTGAATCGAGGCCATGCGTTGATCGTGTCAACGTCTCGTGTCCCACCTCAACGTCGTCCCTACGTCTCTTGCTCTCTTCTTCGCTGCTCTCACCTGAACTCTCTCTGCTCTTCTTACTGTTCCCGCCATGGCTGGGATAAAAGCCGACCCTCCCAGAGCGAGACGCCTGTGGCGGCTTGGTCCCGGTCGCGTGACGGATCTGTCCGTGGCTTTCGTGTTTAGGTTTGGCCCGCACTTGAATAAGGAAGGTTACCTAAACAACTTCCACATTTTCAAGAACGAACCTGAGCCGCTTCAGAGTTTCAACCACACAGCCTTGAAGAAGAAGAAGAAGAGGTGCCATCCCTGCTCTGCTTCATCACCTTCGCCTACATCTTCGTGAATACTAGTATTGCTTCTTCTTCTTCTTCGTAGAGGGGTAAAGATGTTGGGAGAGGGAAGCATACCAGATTCGGATTGGGAGATCCCCCAATCGGACATCGAGTTCGGTGTGCAGATCGCCCAGGGCAACTTCGGCCGCATCTACAAAGGCTCCTACTTTGGCACGGAGGTGGCGATCAAGCTGATCCTCCCCTGCGAGACCCCCGATATGACCCACAAGTACATCGAGCGCGAGGTCACAGTTCTCAAGTACGTTTTCCTTCTGGCGCGGCGTGGTGGTGCTGTGCCAAGTGCGTGGTGTTGATGTTGTTATGTCTTCTTGCTCCGTATCAAAGAGGTCTGCGGCACCCGCTTGTGGTCAACTTCATGGGCGTGGCGCGGCGAAACGGCGACTTTTACATCGTCACCGAGTGGGTGGACGGTGGCAACCTGCGCACCCTCACCAAGGACAAGAATGACACCTTTACGTGGAGCAACAAGGTCAGCATCGCCCGAGACATTGCCGTGGCCATGGCCTTCCTCCATGGGCGAGGCATCATTCACAGGTATGGCAATAGCACCATCGCGTACGATATCGTCGTACGACGCAGCTTCTCACTTTCCAATTGCTAACGGCCTTCTGCAGAGACTTGAAGGCAGACAACCTATTGATCACCAAGTCCGGCCAGGTGAAGCTCTGTACGTTACTCTCATCTTCTCAGCGCCGATGAACAAAGCTCAAACGACAATCCCAACAAAAGGTGATTTTGGGTTCGCGAGGGCGCGCAACACGGGCTACATGACGCTGGCCGGCACGGAAGAGGTACCCCGCTTGATCAGCCCAGAGAGTTGGGACGATGCCTTCGCTAATCAAACGGTTCGCAGTACATGGCGCCCGAGGTGATCTTGGGCATGGAGTACGACGAAAAGGTTGACGTGTACAGCTACGGAGTGGTGCTGCTCGGTACGTACCAACAGACTTCAAGTTGTGATCTCGTTCACTTCTTGAACTAACCTCTTCTTTCCACAGAGCTGATCTCCCGCAAGGTGCCACCAGTGCGTGGGCCAGCCTTCGCGTTCGACTTCAGTCCTGAGCAGCTGCAGGCGACCATTCCGGCCGACTGTACGATTTCATTCACCGCCCTGCCGCAACCAAGACCCACTTCATGTGCTCATTCTCGTTTCTGTGTTGGCCGCCACAGGTCCACAGCGCTTGGAGGACCTGGTGCTGCGCTGCATCAACTACAAGCCCGGCATGCGGCCGGCCTTCAAGGACATCTTGGGCACATGCAAGGAGCTACTGGAGGAGCTGAGCGCGGACGAAGACGCCAGCGGGAATCTGATGGAAGGCGATGAGACACTCCGCACAAAGCGAGCTCTGGAGATCATGAAGAATAGGTACGTGGCCATTATTGATTGGCGACGCGCGTGTATAGACCTAAGACTTGGAGTCTGGCGACGACGCAGGTTGAAGGGAGCGCAGGAGCTGCTGGCTTCGGCGGATTTAGGCAAAGCCAGTGCGGATTCGCCGTTACATTCTGGCCGACGCGGAGCGCCGCCAGCGGTATCCCAGGTACCCCAACTCAACGCGTTGTGTTTGTTTCCCTTCTTCTTGGAGACTGAGCTCGCGCACCTCACAGTCAACTACACAGCTCCCGTACACCTCGAATGGCATCGCTAGAGTACCATTCCCACTCAAGCAACGCAGCGCAGCGCACGCAAGAACTGACCATTTCCATCAGGACCCCAACCAACAGGCCTTCTTGCGAAGAAGCACCACAGGGATTACAACACGCAGCAGTACATTTTCGCTTGGCTTGTGGGACGTCATGTGGTCGTGCATTCGCCTGACCCGCTCCTCTTGTACGCCCTGCCTTGCGCACTGTGTTCGCGCAGGCACACCGTCGGCTCAATCGCCGAGTCGACCCTGGGGCACTGTCTCCCCGGCAACCGGCGCTGTCATGTTGCGCGAGGGCAAGACCGTGACGCTGCCCAGCGAACTCGTACGAAAGGGCGACTGCTTCATCGAAGAGGACAAGGTCATCGTCAGGTAAGCGGCGCTGGGTTAGTGGCCCTGTGTGCGACCAGGCGCAGGCGCTCAGCTCTCTTCTCTTCCTTCAATTCACTTTGCAGGGAGTCTGCCGGCGTGCAGACCGTCGCCGTCTCCAAGAAGTATTCATGGAACACGCGGCCCATGGTCATGAAGGTGACCTTCATGACCATCGTTTCCCCCGGCGGCTGGCTCAGCATCACAGGTAACCACCTGTCGTCTGTTCATGTAGACATCAATCAATCAATCGATTGAAGTGCTGATGGGTTGGTGTTGGTGTTGTTGGATTCCTCCGATCGCGCAGTCGAGTTCGACAACCACTCGCCCAAGGTGGTGACCGGCATCCAGGCCTGGATCACAGAGCAGCGGGCCGTCGTGAAAAAGAAGAAGTTAGTCATCGTAGAAAAGGTGCCCAACCTTTCTTCTGCGTTGTGTGCGGCGTGTGCGGCGAGTGCGGTGTGTGCGTGCGGCGTGTGCTGATGAGTGTACGGCACAGGACTTGACCAAGCCGATATTCTTCGATCCGAGCCCGGTGCTGCCGCTGGCGCGCAAGGAGCGGCCGACGTGGATCGGCGACGTGGAGTTCCCCATCCCGCCCAGCATTCCGCCAACGTCTATCGACGTCGACAACCACCTCAGCTATGTGCTCAACGTGGAGGGCGTCGTGGAGAAGGGCAAGACGAAGGGCATCCGCGCCACTGTCCCCATCACCGTTCGATCGCCGCTCGCTTCCACCCATCTTCATGATGGTGACAATCGATCAACAAACAGTAATTTGTGCTGCTTCAGTCGCGGTTCGTTCACGCGCCTGCAGGCCGAGCAAAAAGATAAATTGGCTACCAGTGAAGATGGAAGACGCACCGGTGTACACGCTCTTGACGCGAGAGCAAGTGGAGGAGCTGATCCACACGCACTACGACCTCGGGAGGGTGGTAGAGTACAAGGTGAGTACGAGGCGAGCTTCGCTAATCGTCGTAACGTAGTGGAGATTTTTGGAGATTAACGTGCGATCTCGCAATGGCACGGCCTGCAGAAGCTCAGCGGAGGCCTGGCGAACTCGAACTATCGCGTTGACACCACGACTGGCTCGTACCTCCTTAAAATCTGCGATGAGAAGGACAGGCAGAGCCTCCAGGTATAATCTCGATTTATCTTTTAATTTGATTTTTCATTTGTTGAGGATTTGCAACTCATTCGACCTTCGTGTCCATCAGGTGCAAGTGGCGGCCCTCAACGCGGTGCGAGCGGTGCACTTCCCCACGTGCCTGCCGCACCCGCTCAAGGGAGCCGAGGGCTACGTGCTGTGCCAGAACAACGACCAGCTGCGCGCCATCGTCTACGACTTCCTTCGCGTACCCACCTCCACATGTCATTGATGTGTGTGTGTCGTGCGGTGTGTGCGGTGTGTGCGGTGAGTGGCGTCGCCTCTTCTCTAGAAGAGTGCTGCTCACAGCTAGCGCAGGGCGGACCCGGTACGATCGAGGGAGTGACGGAGCGAATGATGGCCCAGCTAGGCACGGCCGTTGCCACGCTGCACACACTGAGTCCCGTCGACAACCTCCCTCCATTCCCCATGGGGTAAGCGCTCACCCAACCCACCACCACCACCGAACTTTTGCTGCCAACCAACTGAACAAACTGGTCTTACGCACACATCAACTATGCATAGAGTGGCGGCAATTGACCCGTTCCTGGAGGAGGTCAAGGGCACCCCGTTCGAGCACCACGAGTTCGTGAGGTGAGGTGCATTTTGCAGCTTACGAGCAAAGCATGGTCTTTTGTGCTTATCGCCTGATGCACGTTGGTGGGCGCCTACGCAGATATTTGCGGGAACAGCTGAACGCCTTCCGCGGCGTGATCGCCGACCCGACGCTGCCTCAGGGCATGATGCACGGCGACATCTTCCCCGATAACGGTACCGTACGACACCAGCAATGCACCACCTGGTTTCCGTTAATTAACCTCTCTTATTCCTGTACCAGTCATGTTTGATGGCGAAGAGCTGGTGGGCATTGTCGACTTTGAAGAAGTTTGCCACGGCCCTCTCCTGGTCGACGTCGGCATGGTACACGGCACATGACACGCACACACGACACGACACACGCACGACACGACACGACACGCACACACGGCACACTCGATGCTAAGTTGGAACGGGGCAGACAATTCTTGGGTGCTGCTACCCGCGAGACAACAAGCTGGACGAGGGGCTCATGCAGGCCTTCGTCACGGCCTACGACGCCAAGCGGCCCATGTCCGTCCAGGAGAAAGCCCAGCTGCCGCAGTTCATCCAATACGCCGCGCTGACCATCGCGTTCTGGCGGTTCAGGTATGACTCACACACGCACACGCAACACGACACGACACGACCAATAACACACACTCACGGTTTGTGGTTTTGGTGGTGCAGGCAATTCAATGTGCGCACGCAGGACGAACTGCGGAAGGATCGTCACCAGGAGATGGTGCAGCGGATTGCGCACATCACTCACACCTTCCTCGCTGCGCCTCCTCTCCTCCCAGCCCCGACCCACCTCTCCTGATGTGGCGCGCTCACATTATGAAATGATGAAAGTAGCGCTTGGTGGACATGGGCCTGTAGTGTGGGGGTCACCAGACCTGGCTCACAATCAGCGCCAGCATGACCCGTTGATGATTGTAGCTGTGACTGAGTGCCTTCTGGCTAAGATTGTTTTTGGGGTTGGTAGGGAACCGCTCAGCCCCTCGGAATAGAGGGACGAGCAGGCCACCACTTTAAGTGATGTAGACTATGAACCGGAGATACAATTCTGCGGTTGGTAATGCCTTGCACTGGCCCTCCACCGCGCCACTTCAACGCTGGGCCTTCTTCCCTCATTGTGGGACCATTTAACAGCGCGTTTTGGCTGAATCGACTGCAGCTTATTAATAAGATAGAAGAAAACTCCTCAGAAAGTCCGAGCAAACGCGTGGCATCTGAGAACTGTGGCAAACTTTTCACTGAGTAACACTCCCAGAAAGTTACACGTGGCGCCAGAGGAACTAAAAAAGCCAAACCGAACAGTTTGTGTTAGCCAATACGACAGGGAAGAAGAGTGGACCATGACCTCTTCGTTCTTTCCAGACAACTTGCAAGTGCGCAGTTTTGAGGTGGGGGTGCTCCACTTGCACCCCTCTCTGCATGGACTGAAGATAGCGCAGCTCACCGACATCCATTTCAACGATCACCGACTCTTCGTGAAGGGTGCCTCTGACGCCGTGTTGCGGGCGGCCGTGGAGGCCGTTGAGCGCGAGTCGGTCGACCTGGTCACGCTGACGGGCGACTACGTGGACCTCTGGCCCGAAGCGGTCACAGTGCTGGCCGACCGATGGCTCTCCAAACTCACTTCCAAGTATGGGACCGTGGCCATCCTCGGCAACCACGACTACCAGAGGCCCCATTCTCAGCGCACGGTGCTGGAAGCCTTCCAGAGCGTGGGCATTCGCACGCTCGTCAACCAGCGGGCCGAGCCGGTCAACGAGTGGCTCGAAGTGATGGGCGTCGGCGACTTCTGGAAGGACTACCACCCGGAGCAGATCATGTGTCCTCTCTCTGACCCCTCGACAACGGACAAGAAGGATGACGACCAGGAGGAGGAGGAGGAGGAGGAGAAGGATGGTGAGGCCGAGGTCGAGGCCAAGTCAGCCGAGGAGGAAGCGGGAGTGTACCGCCGGACCCGGTTGGTCCTGACCCACAACCCCGACAGCTCGTTGCATCTCAACCAGTGGGGCGCCGACCTCATGTTGGCGGGACACACCCACGGAGGTCATCTCCGCAGGGCGTGGAACAGCATCATGCCTCGACGCAAGAACAACCCCGATGTTGTGCCGAAGTGCCAGTTGGGCTACGACTGGGTCCACGTGCCAAGGATCGGGGACGTGGCCGATTACGAGCGACCGGCCATCCCGCTCTACGTGTGCCGAGGACTCGATTACGTCCCCATGTCCCCGGCTGAAGTTGCCATCTTCACTCTCGTGCCTGGAGAGCAGGGCGAACAAGTCGTGCGAGAGGTGCCTCCCTCATGAGAGAGGTCGAAAATTAAAATAAAATTGGTTTTCCTGAGGCCGACGAGTCGGGAACATCTTTTATTCTTTTAATCTTACTTTTTCGTTTCGGGAGAGATGCAGAGGTGCGTACCCTCGAGAGGGCCTCTTCGTGCCCGGTGTGGCACCTGATGTGTGCCCCCTTTATATTTGCCTAGTAGAAGATTTAATCTCCATCGATTTTATTGAATGTTTGCGACAGCTATGCGGAGAGCGGGCGTGTGGTGTTGAAGGTGCCGCACGAGGGACGCGTGACTTCCCTCCACATCGCTCGCGTGGAGCAGCTCGCACCCTGCGACGCCGGTACGACTCTCTTTTCTTTTTGTCGTGATGCCGCTCTGTGCGCGCTGACTTGGCCTCTCTCAACGTCCAGCTGGCATCCTCGATGGCAGCTCAGACCTGACAGGGCTGATGCTGTGGCCCGCAGCCGAGGCTCTGGTGCGTGGTGCTGCCCATCCCGGGGGGACCGTGTAGCGGAGTGCTGTGTGTTGATCACGCGTGCGTGCGCGTGCGCGTGCGCGTGTGGGTCGTGGCAGGCGCACCTGATCGCCACCGAACCGGACAAGTGGCGCGGCAAGACCGTGCTCGAGCTGGGCGCGGGCGTCGGTACATCGCCGCAGCGCTTCATTCATTCTCGTGTCGCTCACTCTCCACCTACAATTGTGGGCTTCGTAGGGCTGGTGGGCCTCGTGGCTTCGCTCTTCTGTGGTCAAGTGCTGATCACCGACGGCGAGGAGGAGGTCATCTCCATGATCGAAGAGAACCTCCAAGCCAACAAGGACGCCCTCCCAGGTGCCCTAGCCCAGACCCCCCCTGTAAATGCTCGCAATCTCGCGAAGTCAACTCATCAGATCTTTGGTTCAACAACAACAACAGAGGCGAGTCGGGTGCGATGCTGCTCGCTGGACTGGACCGAGGACTTGGACGCGTGGAAGGCCAAGCACGACTGCTCGTCGTTTGACGTCATCGTGGTATGCCGCACGCCGCGCCCACCCACAACATACTAACACATTGCTGACATTCCAACATCATATGCATTGCTGCGTTCCTCCACAGGGCTCCGACATTATGTACGTTATGTTCATACCTTGCTTCTCACATGTTGCTCACATGTTGGCTGATTCTGATTCTCATCATCGTCGTCATCTTCTTCAACACCATCATCACGGGCCTTTGCGCACGATCACACAAAGTTACTCGTTTGAGGCACTGCCGGCGCTGTTTACGGTGGTGCAGGGCCTGCTGGCGCACACCGCCGACGCCCACTTCCTGGTGCTCTACAGCTCGCGAGGCAAGCGGCTCGACGACCGCCTGCCCGAGGTGGCCGCCGCCCACGGATTCGACTGCAGCGTGGCCATGCACCTCCCGCCCCACGCCACCACCGCACCACCATCAGCCTCCGATGACCAAAGCCCCGACGAGCCCATGCGTCTGTGCACCTTCACCCGCAAGACCCGGGCCTGACCGGTACTGAAGTCGCTGGCTGGTTGGTTCGTTTTATAAGGAAAGACACAGGAGAAGATGATAAGAAGATGGCAGAAGGGATCAATAGGGGTGAGGCCGCCGGCGTCCAGGTCAATCACCAATAATATACCAATAATATACCAATATACCAATAACAATCAGACAAATACCAAAAACAATAATAATCAGAATATAATTCATATACCCCGAGTGCCAGTGGACATGGACGCGTGTCTTCCGCGCCTGCAGACGCTTCGCACGGACGGCGCTGCGCTCGATTTCGGGACGTCTCACCTGTAGCGCAACAATGCTGTATGGAGTCCATATCGTCAATCCTCAAATTGCTGTCACTGTGCACAGACTGGCAACTAGCGTTCCGCCGGCCTCGCTCACCTCGCTCGTCATCTCCCTCACCGCGCTCGTCTAGGTACTCCTGACATCTTGCCCCCCCCCTACCACATCCGCGACATCACGTCCAACCTCAGGACGAGAAGGGCCGACTGCAGCACCTCTGCATCAAGACGCGCAAGGTCAAGCGCCGACGCCATCGCCAGCATGGAGGCGTGGGCTCGGTCGCGGCCTTCCGCCGTCCTACGGCGAGGCCGTGTGGAGAATGTCGGAAAGAATCAAAAGCAAAATCAAAAGGCATTTTAGGGATATCTGGGGGATTTACGGTTATTATCGGGTGATAGTGTCGAAAGGCCAAATCGCCGGCGGGACCAACGGGAGAGCGCCAAATGTCGGCGCGAGCCAGCCGGTGGGGGAAGTTTCTTGCCTAAAAAATAGCAAAAACGAGCAGCAACAGTCCTTCTTCTTTGTCTTTGTTGCCACCTTTTGCAACGAACTGAAAGGAGAATTGGACATGACTATGTCGCCTCGCCTCGTTGTTGTTGCCGCCGCTATTCTCCTCTGTTGTTGCCCCTTCCTCGGCCAAGGCTTGGCCCAGCAGCAGCGGATCCCTCGGGCGGGGCTGACCACCTGCCAGCTCGCCCAGTTGCAGGGGTACCTCTGCGCCGAGCACTGGACCACCACCGCCGACGGGTTCGGCATCAACATCCAACGCATCGCCAATGCTTCGGGCTTCAGCAAGGACGGCAGGCTCATTCCTGTCGTGCTTCAGCACGGTTTGGCTTCATCATCGCCCATCCCAATGCGTGCCACGGCTTCAAATACTAATTTTCCAACTCAAAAAACAAAAAAAACAACAAAAAACAGGATTCTTGGACACATCGGCGACCTGGGTGCTTAACCAGGCGCATCAGAGCCTGGCGTTCATCCTGGCCGATAGCGGATACGATGTGTGGCTGCCCAACTCACGCGGCAATGGGTATTCGATGAACAGCACACGTTTCAATCCCGGCCGTACGTGATTTCTGCAGCTGCTTGGCCAGCTCTTCTTGTTTTTGTTCTTGATTGACAAACATTGCACCGCTGTTCAGAAGATGCATTCTGGGCTTGGAACTTTGACCAGATGGCTCTGTATGACGTCCCGGCGACCGTGAGCTACGTCCAACACATCACAGGCAGGCCCAAGGTTCGGACTTCAGTTCAAATCTCGCCCTCGCTTTCTTTTCTTCCAAGTAATTGACACCATAACATCCACACGCACACAGCTGGCTTGGGTCAGTCACTCACAGGGAGCAACAATCTCGATCGGTGCGTTTTCCAAGCTGCCGTCGCTGGCATCGGCTATCTCGGTCTTCGTGGCGTTGGCTCCGGTGACATACACTGCACACCAGGTCCGTCCGTGCCTCACGCTAGCCCCTAAGAGCAACCAGATCTCGCAACCTAACTCCTTTCCTCCAGGGCAGCAAGCTGATGTCGCTGCTGGCCGCTATGCACGTCGACCTCATCTATAAGATCCTTGGGGATGGCATCTTCACGCCTACTCCGGGCATGCTCCAAATGCTGCTTCCCCTCGAATGCCGCATCGCTCCATCGCTCTGTGACGACCTTCTGGGATCGCTCTTTGGACATGGAACGCCGGTCCATTACAACGCCTCGCATATCGACGTCTACCTAGAGCACTTCCCAGCCGAAACATCCACGGTGCGTACATGACTTTGCTAGCCTTGCCTCACCCTAGGGCCTACTAAACACATTGTTCTATCGATCACTTCCTCACAGCAAAACTTCGTACACTGGTGCGTCTCGTCCCAACCTTCTCCAGTTGAGCGCCCCTGTCTAAGCCTTTGTTACATCGCGTGATTTCAGGATCAAGAACGTAAGGTCAGGCGAATTCATCACCTACGACGGCGTCCCATACCAGCCGCAGCGGATCGCCTGCCCCACATATGTGTTCTACGGTACCCGCTCGACAAGCGTGGTCTTCTGGTGTCATCACACCTTAACCTTGGACCGTTCCTCTCGTCACACACCAGGCACGCAGGACTATCTTGCCGATCCACAGGACGTTGCGACCCTCACAGCGGCGCTGAGGGCATCCGGCAACTACTTGGGGTCGACATCGCTTGAAGGCTATGCGCACATGGGTTCGTAAAACCACCTGCCGATCCCCGGTCAGGCCTTGGCATTAACACTCTCCGCCTGACCAGATTTCACGTGGACCATACAACCGGGGTTGTATGCACAAGTGAACCGCATCCTCGCGCAACACGCCCACTAACTTGCGCGACACTGGACCCAACCTCAGAGCTCGAGGGCAGGCGCTTGTTTTGGCTTGGGTGCAGTGTGACGAAGAAGACAAAGAGATTACCATGCGTTTGCTTTCGAAAAACAGCGTGGCTTCAACTTCAGCGACTCCAATTCTGGTTGGTTGGTCACACAAGCGCAAACTCTCACCACGGTGCAGACAAGAAAAAGTAAGAACTGACTTTTGGTTTCGTTCGGACCAACAAAAGAGAGAAGACGAAGAAGATGGAAGGAAGAGTCAATGAGAGTGACGAAGTGGCGGCGTACCGCCACCACGACGATGATGAAGACTACGACGAGGAGGAAGTGGCGGCGTTGTACTGGTTGCCGGCGGAGCTGTGGGCCATGGTGTGCGAATACCTGGGCACGGGCGACCTGGCCCGGCTGAGCACCACGTGCTGGACCCTGCGCTCGCACGCCCTCGCCAAAGTGCGCCACCACACCTTCACCCCCCTCGGTACCCCCCCACCATATCCCCCCAAATAATAATTGGCACGTTATCGCAATTAGCAGAAAAAAATTGTTTCGTTATTTTAGAAATTAAGAAAAAACTGTAGTTTCTTCAACATTGCAGGACTGTTCACGCGGCGAAGCAGCATGCGGCAGGCGTTGG